CGTTCTTAGTAATGGTCATAATAGTTCTTCTAAGTAGGAAAGCCCTAAAACTGCACTAATCACATGGCCAGGAGAAAAGAAAGAGAGGGGAAGAGGAGATGAGAGCAGAGCAAGTGTCCCTTCTATTTATTAATTGCGATTTAACTGATCTAATATGTTTCTCTGGCATTGATTATTATATAATGAAAAGAATGATGTGTTCAATGACAGAAGTACCTCAAGATAAATCATTGAGAATCTTCAGTTTATCGGTCCTGACTGAAGGTGTGAAGTAGAGTCCAAACTTCTCAGAGATATGAAAACCTGAGGTTCTTCAAAGGTCCATATAGAAATAGGTATTAAGGTACTTAAAGAATATATATGTTGAAAACTCAAGTTCTTCCACAGTTCATCATCAAAATCTTTTTGCATTGATTTAAAGGCCTTGAAAGTGCCTTTTTCATATAGTGTATTTTTTATCTGGAATCTGTATCATTTCAGTAATCTTTCATATCTTCCATAAATTGTCTGTTTATATGAGGGTTGTATGTTTTATTCCCCCTTTCTAGCATAAAGATTATTATCAAATTGCTCATTTTATATATCACTCTAATGCATCTGTGAATGGGCAAGTGACCATCTCATGAAAACTGCCTATAAATTTGAAGGTTTCTATATTGATAGTTTCAGTGAAGGAATAACCTGTAAATGAAGGCGGAGCAAGTTGATCTTCCTCACCTTTTAAAAGAAAGTGTGTTTTATGACAAAGGGTATGCAGCACCTTTAATCCTTCTTTATGTTATTTCCTGTAACTGTCAGCTTCGTCTTTTCATTCCAATTATTAGTCATAGTAGAATCCTGAGAAAATTCTATACACATCTGATGAAACAGGCTTATCATGAAATACAGTGCAGAAGTTTTAAATTAGTGTAAAAAAAATATTATTCTCATAAAGTACTTCTTTAGTCAAATTATATTTTGGGAAAAATATCTAACCCATTTGCCAATATTATAGGTAATATGGGGAAATATTGCTCGACTGGGATGTTATTGAACTGTTTTGTATTTCTCTCTTCTTTTTTTTTTTTTTTTTAAATATAAATACTTTGGTTTTGAAAATACCTTTTTTTTAAAGTCCATTTCACTATCTTCTTTTGAATGTGCTTGCTAACCCACTTACTGCCAATGTTCAGACACAGTAAATGCAACTGATTTGCTGTATTGACTTACTTTGTATTCACTGTAATGAGGTAAATCAGTGTTTCCACTCATGGATACTGAAGGGAAAAAAATTATTTGCTGGTAATCCCTTTATTTTACCTGTGCCGTTTCAGTTGTGTAAAATTACAACACTATAACAATAAATCATAGCAGTTGGATTATTTCCTTTTTTTGGTTTGCAGCTTTTTATTCTCTATTTTTTTTTCTCTTTAGAAATAGATGGCATTTTTCATTTTTGATAGGCCATGTTTAGCTTTCTTTTTGGAACTGTCTAATTGTGCCTTAAATTGCATGTCAGACTTATTATAAAAGTGATTAAACTGAAACTACTTGGTATGTTTGTAATAGAATTTATTAGGTTGGGCTTAAAACTCAATTATCCTAAAGGTATTAGGGTGAACGTTTTTAAGGCACATCTTTATCCAAGGGAATACAAGAAAATGTTTGGTGTTTGTTTTTTTTGTTGTTGTTGTTTTTTTTTAATTAAAGGAGATGGATTTTGCCAACACTGAATTAATTTTATTTTTTTACCATTTATAGGCATTTACACTAGTTTCATCTGGTGTGCCTGTGAAATAGGAAACATACCAGTATTATTAGTGATTTTTTTTTGCTGCATTCCGAACAGCAGGACTGTTTTTTTCACTAGTGTTCTAAGTTTTTTCTAAGTGTGTGGGATAAATACAATTTTAAAATGTTCTCCAATTTTCTATCTGTAATTCTAAAATACTATTTGTAAACTGAATAGTCAAAATCAGACATATATTTGTAATATGATTTGTTTTCCTCAGTTTTTGATTTCTTACTCTATCTCATTACTAGGCGAACAAAATAATCCTTGTAGACATAACTTCTAGCAGGTTAACCAAAATATAAAGGAGCTTTTATATGTTCCCTCTTTTTGGTTGCTTTAGTGTATTTTGTATAAAATACTAAGACATCACGGGAAGTGTGCTTTTTTAAAACAAAATTCAAATAACCATCTTTGGTCTTTAATTCAGATTATGAAACATGCACTAATAATTGTGCAGTAGTATATATTTGCAGTATAATCTACTACACTAATTTTAGGTTTCCCTCTAGTGGTTCATTGAAAAAAAATGTCTGAAGTATAGAGAACTTTAAAAAATATTCCTCTGTTTTCTTTTGTGAAGGAATTAATTACCTTTTAGCATCTCTGTAGGAAATAAAATAATAAAGAGAAGTGCTTTTTTTTTTGAAGTGTTTTTTTTTTTTTTTTTTTTTTTGTGCGGGGGGGAGGGGGGTGGCAGGGCAGGGGCTACATTACAGAGTGTAGCTTGTAGTCTCTAGGATGTCTCACATGCAGACCTGAAGACATAAGAAATCTTAATCACAGCTTCAGTGGAAGCAACATTTCTGGGCAGACAGCACTGGATATTTGTTGAAAATCTTAAGATTTCCAGGTTTGGTTGCTTGCTGTTTTGTTTTGTTTTGTTTTGTTTTCTTTCCTGAATGAAATGCAAACAACTCTTGTGGAAAACAGATCCTTCAAAAATAACACATATAAAGTTTCCACTGAAAAAGAGGTTTAACCAGTTGATGGGGTCTGTGGACAATTGGAATTCTAGCATAGGATTTGCAGAGTAGGTTTTCGTGCATAAGCCATTATGTGGCAGTGATGACAGAGTGTTCACCTTTGGCACTTGGTAGAGTAAAGGAGGCTGTATAGCTTTTACCAACAGAATGACAGATATGTTATTACTATTTACTATTTGTAATTTTCTGCAAAGGCAGATATGTCTTGTTGCAATGCAATCCCTTTGTGTTGTTCTTGAAACAATTGAACTGAAAAAAAGTATCATTTCCTGTGATGACAAGCCAATTTAAGCTACATTCACATTATCCTGAGTTGAGATTAGGAATTTAACTAGTCAAATCAATACATTGTCTCTGTAAACTTGCTCCATAGAGAATGAAAATGCAAGTCTAAGTTATTGGTGGGAATCCAAACTTCATGTGCAGGTGTTCTGAAATATTGCATTTTCCCTTACTTTTTCTCTGTTTGATGAATCTATGTGAGAGATCACAAAGACTAGAAACTTTCTGTGTGGTGAAATTAGGAAGTTATTAATACCACCCAATATGTAGTGTTTCCCACTGTAATTTTTTTATACCCAAAGCTGAGAAACAAAATACTGTTGAAATGAAAAACAATATAAAAGCAGTGGAACAATCTTTAACTTCAGCAGACAATATCAATGAAAGCGTAGAAGAAATAAAGATTATTATTAGTCTAGACAAGAAGAAAAAAGTAGGAGTCAGAAATAAAATGACCTGGTTCTTTATTTACTTTTATATGCCTTGTGTATCCTTGTCAGACACTGAAACTGTTTGCTTTGAGAGAGGAGTTAATGACAGTGAAAACTACCCTTCGTTTTTCCAACTGCATAAATTTTGTAAACTTGTATATTAATACTATGCTAAAGTTTCTAGTTTATGTTTTAATAAATCCCTTCATTGACTAACAGAAATAACAGTGAGTTACATGTGAGTGAAAATCTTAACATTACTGGGTAAAGAAAAAAAAATAATAATTTAGGATACTTGCATTGTATTTTAGGGTTGCTGATTAAGTGTGCAGCATTGCCTGATGGCAGAAGTGTAGAACAGTGGAAAGAGTAAAATTCTTTGCATCAAGGAGTTAATAAATATCTAAAAGACACACTTGAGAACCAACAACAAAACAATTTGTTCTTGTCAGCTAGAAGTGGTTAAATTATGAAAAAATTGTCCTCTGAAGATATAACTGATCTATGCATCTTCTTTGTGAACAGCACAGCATTCAGTGTGTTATAGCCCTGTATATCTCATTTTTTCTATATTAAGAATAGTGAGATATGACCAATGTCAGTGTTAGTTTATACATTATATTGGTAATATCTCCAGGCAGGGTTATGAAGTAAAATATATGAATAGCCTAACAAAATATGTAATTCCTTTGGCATGGTGGTGGGGTTGTTTTAATTAGTTTGGAAATGTATCATGTTTCTGAAGCATAATTCTTTAATTGGTGATTTAAAAATACTGTTTAGTTCAGTGGGCCTGTTTCCATCACTTTACAGCAAAACACTACCACAGTGAACCTAAATCTTCAAGGCTTTTAAATGGCTCAGAATTATTTCAAGAGAAAAGAAAATCATATTCTACAGGAAATGCCCTAATTTACAAACTACTGTAAACATTACACTGAATGAAGCTTCTGACTAATTTGTAATGGACACTAGTCATCTTCTTAGTCATTGCTTTGTTTGAATTACATAGTATGGTGTTTCCAAAGACGATCCACTCTATGCTACAGAAGCCAGACTCTCCTGTGATGTATTTTCCCAGATTTCATTTTCAGTGAATAAAACAATGAACATGTGTGCAACAGATACTTAACCTGCTTAGTAATGCCCATGCATCACTGTATCTATTGCCAGCTGGATGTCATGCTGCATAAATCACCTAATTGCATCATGAAAGTCATGTGTTTGTAAAAAAACCCAAACAATTTGCGGAAGGGGAGCTTTGTTCAGCATGGTCTGTACTTTTCTATCTGGCTTTTTTAGTGAGTTATGTAGCTTACCAGGGAAGAGGCATTAAATAAATTAAGTTAAACGTGGACATGGAAAATGTTCCATGAAAAAAAGCAAGCAAAAGTCTGATTCTATCGTATTTCAAAGAGAATACACAACAAGATGCTGGTTTATTTTAAAATGTATTTTAGTACAAAATATTGATATTGAATTTTATTCTCTGCTTGCAAACTAACATAATTGCTTTCCTTTCTCTTACAGAATAATGACATAATCTATTACAATGCAAAAGATGATCAGAATGATGTAAGTCATATGTTTATCTTTGTTTCATTGCTTGTAATCTCAGAAAATTAAGGGACTGAAAATATTAATGAAACTGTGAGACTAGTATTTATTTTTTTTTGCAGAAGCAAGAAAAAAATAATTTAGGGATTTCTTCAAAAGTTTCCTCAAGAGCCAGATATTTTATGTTTCAATTCTCTAAATCTCCCTCATACAGCCTGAGTTTCTAATCAGTCAGGGAATGTGCTAGGAGAGGAAAGATCCTGGCAGCAATATGATTCACTTTTTTGAAATGTAATAAAGTCATAATTGTAGGACTGCAGAATCAAAATTATAAATATGAATAATTTAGTTTACTCTGAAGGAACCATTTTCTGGCCTGATTTTCCAAGCTTGCATTCTCTTGCTCTTTATTCTTTACAAGAGGGGAAAGAATATATATATACATATATATATATATATATAGAGAGAGAGAGAGAGAGAGAGAGAGAGAGAGATAAGTCATATTACTGTAATAAGCTTTGGGGAAATTGAAAATCCAGTCCCAAGATTTAGACAAAATGTATGATATTTCAATTTTTTATTCTACTAAAACTCTTACTTTAAGTGGTTTGAAACTTATCTGGCTTTAACTATTGGAAATCTTAGCGTCTTCTGATAACAAGACAAGTTATCCTCACCTCCACTTGAGATAATACAAGTGCTTCTATTCATTTTAGATTTAATTTATAAAACCCTAGAAAAAATGTTGTAAATGTATTAATCAGAATTGCCAGCATGCTTCATTTACACTTCTTAATCAAGTATTCTTTAGAGATTGCTGGCATCACTATTATAATTGATGCTTCTTCTGCAAGGAAATTAAAGAAGGTACATACATCATGTCAAGCAGAACTATTTAATATATAGAGTTTTAAATTCACCAAGATTGAATTTGCTAGTAACTTCTGGCAACAGAATTGCAAAGCTTAAACACTGGATTTTGAATCTAAATGTACTGTATAGTGATGGCAGATTATGGAGTGAAGGAAGACTTTGCCATGTCTGTTATGAATAAATAGTGATGGGAAAGGTCTTGAGGTGACAAATTCTACAATATTAATCCAAATCTGTTAGGCAAGGCAAAAAAGGAAATATTCCAGTTTTCTCTCATTTCCTGTGACTTTTCTCAGGACTTCTTTTCCCCCAGAAATTTTATTTCTTTTTGAACTTTTGGAATGAAGTTTATAATAACCTTTATTACCAAGTTAAGAATAATTCCTTTTGATTGAGGGCCAATCTGTCAAGAAACAAATAGCACTGTAGTATGGCTCCAGCAACACAGAGGGCAGTACCAAAACCCAACATCACCTTAAGTCAGTATTTTGAAATATTTTATCACAATAAAAATTTGAAGCCCTAGGATTTTCAGCTTAGCAGGCTGAACTGTTTGGCAGATCTGTGCTATATGGACTTTGTAAAATATAAAAATACAGCATTAAGACTGTGGTTCTGTTGGAGTTGCCGATGTGTTTGTATATGTGTGTAATTGTTTTTCTTTACTTCGTAACAGTCCTCAAGTGAAAAAAATAAAGAGAAGGAAAGAAAGGGAATTTTTTGTTTTGTTTTACTTTTAATCTCTATTTAATTCTAAGTTCAGAAAACCATGTGAAGTGAAAAGATACCAACAAAGTACATGATTTAGAAGCTCTGTTTTTTTGAGGGTGTTTGCTTATCAGAACAAATATTTTGACTAAGGAGATACTGGTAGAAAGTTCCCCATGGATTTTAATTACACCTTGTAAAGAGAGACCCATCTCAGATATCTCAGCCACAAATACCTTGTTGGTTCAGCATATCTGCTAAGGGCTGGATTTCAAATATGGCCAGAGGAACATACTCAAATTCTGTTTCTTGCTATTTAGTGAAGATGAACGTTTGATAATTGATGCTAAACATTATCCACCTTGAGCTGTAATATCAGTAATAATTCTTAATAAACAAAAGTAATCTTATCAATGTATATAGAGAAAGAGAAATTCTTTTAGAGCTGTTACTTATACATGTAGATTCGGACCTATTTAAAAGGCCCAGCATTTCAGGAACTTGCAGCTTTTAAAAAAGGCTCTTCCAAGCAGCTTGAGTTTTTCAGTTAGTTTTTTTTATGCAAATATTTAATTAAAAAAATTAAATGTGGAATTATTTTTCCTTCATTGGTAAAGTGAAGGCTGATCAGATAAATGCAGATTAAAAGTCCAAGAAAAATCTGCATTCTAACTGTAGTCCTTTTTGGGAATATAAAGTTGTGGGTATGCTTACTGATGATTTGCATCACATTAAGGTGGTAAGAATCAGTAAAGTTCTATTTGCTAAAACAATTTAAAAGTGAGAATACAGGTGTATTTGTGCCTGTACTATCATTGTGACCAGTAATCTAATTTACAAGCAGCAATAAGAATTAAGTGGCCAGTGATCTGATACTCAATTTTTTGTTAAGAAACCCTGCATACAAGTCTAAATAACTTATGCAAACATGACAGACTCTTCTCCCCCACTTCTGCCTGAGCAACTCCTGGAGTTCTGCTTCCAAGTCCTTTTTCAGTATTTGTAAAATGGGTGAGACAACTTTGGTGGCATCTTATTTTAGAGAACAGTAAGTGTGTAAGGTCAGCTGAATCACTTCTGGATGTGTTTTTCTCTCTGTTAAACAGGTTACTATAATGGACTCTTTTAAATCTTAAGTTTTAGATGCTGAAGAATTAGAAGAAATTAATCTCACAGGTTCTGTCCGCCAGTCTTTATTTGTCGCCACTCATCGTTCTAAAATTACAGCTTTGTCAGAAGAATAATTCTCTAAGTTCAATATCGCTTAAATTTGCTGGCTGTGTTAGTCTGCTGCTGTATATTTTTCTTTCCTTCTTCCAGTTTATGTGCCACATTCAGGAGATCCTTCTTCCTTCATTTTCATTCTCATTTTTTATCTGCTGACTAAATGCACCTTTTTGAATGTAATGACTGTGTTTGCTTGGACATAAAAGAAAAAGAAAAAAGCATGTGAAGACCAATTATTCTTTGGCCTTTGGATTTCTCAGTTCCTCAGATAAAACAATTTATAACCCCTTAGACCATCACTCAGTAATATATGTTTTTTGCTCTTAATCCTACAACAGCAATTAGATTCTACTTGCTTATTTCCCCCACAGCACTGTAATGTGTGAACACTTCATGATAATTAATGAGTTTTATCATCACAACAAGGTAGGAATTATTATATTCCCATTTTTCATATCTCATAGGAAGGTAATGGCCAAACTTGTAATTTAATACAGGTCTCTCAGGTTTTCATTCATTGTCCTATTCCCTAGAACCCTTTCAGTTTGATATATTGCAGTCTTTGTCATGCCCTTTAATTTGCAGGTGTCAACTGCTTGTGTCCTATGACTCTAGACAAAGGCTGTAGTGCTTTTAGTGGACAACTGAGTGATGATGCCCCATTAAGATGCCCTTTCCCATAAGTTTTAATGCTGCTTTGCCTGGTTTCTTGTCCATTGTGCACCCCTGCCTATCCCTCCCCAATTTATAGTCATATTTTCTTCACTGTTCCATACTTTCTTTTTTGTATTGGTCTCCATTTTATATGTAGTGATTCCACAACTTCGTTATAGATCCATTCTAAATCTTAATTTTTATGTTTTCATATGTTCAGGTAATCCATCTCTCTACCATGCATGGAATTGCTCCATTCATGAATTTTCTTTCTTTGTTGGTTCCTTCCTAAATATTTCTCTCATCTCCTCTTTGCATCCTGCTCCTTTTCTACCATTTTAGAGAAATTTCGTGCTATGGTTTATAAACAATTTCCTGTTCAAACTGTAACATCCTAAGGAAAGGAAGATTGAATTTTTTTCAGGGATTTAACTGAGATGACTAAATATAAGAAATAATAAAAGAAATTATTCTTTAACATGAAACCAGCCACACCTCACTGGAAGTCTGCAGCTCCTCTGCAGGTCTTACTCATTAAGCTGCACTAGCAAGCAGTTGAATGCATCTCCTCGCAAAAGTTTTGTCCCTAGTTAGCACAGATGATTTATTAGAGATTTCCTCATGCAGTCCCATGTTAGATTGCAGTCATGACTAACTGAGCAGTCTTTGTGCAGTTATTGATAATGTATTAAGTGGTAGTATTACTTTCTTTTACTGAATTAGCTTGAAGCTTCTACACTTATGGGTCCCTTTTGGGGAATAAATACCTACACAAAATGTGAATTCACTTGGTGACTAAGGTCAATAGGTGGGTTCCACTAGAGAAACAGTATCTGGAGCAAGCCTCTGGCTATTTTAAGTAAGAAAACTAGGTTTTCAGTATTTCCTAAATCTTACAGGGATAAACCTTTTAAAACTGATAAGCTGTCTTTGCCACATGGTTTAGTTAGTATTCCTAATTCACTGATGCCTTTTTATTTTAGAATAGTATCTGAAACATTATTGTTCTCTGAGATTTAAGCTGCAGCATAAATGCACTTTTAAGATTGTTTTTAAGTTTTTGTAAATAATGCTTTTTAAAAAAGTACATCTACATCAAGTTGAAAACTTGTAAATCTACGAACGGACGATTAGCTTTGAATGCAAACAAACAAAAAAAAAAAGTCTGGTGGGTTTTGTATAACACAATTCTGAGCATATAAAGTGGAGTACATTAGATGGAGAACACAGGAAGTGATTGAAATAATAACTTACTTGCTCTTTTGTAAGTGATTTTTAGAACCCTTTAATCATCTCTCGGAAATGTGGGTAAGCTGTAATCTGATCTCTTTCCATCCATCCAGTCTGTCTCCTGTTTTAAAATGAAGACCTGAGAGAAGAGAAAATTTTCCATCTGGATATATTCCACCCCCTTTGCTCCAGAAAGTATACATCCTATGCTTTATAGAAAAGTAATTTCTGATTATCTAAGAGGCACACTCCATGTAGGTCTGCTGCTTCCCTAGAAGATTTAGAGACATGTTGATAGGTGCTTTGGATCGTTGGGTCTTTGCTTA